AGCCACACGAGGACCGAATCGGGCATTAATTTACAAGACTGTTTGCGTCTGTGTTCACAGTATCGACAGTGCCGGGCAGTAAATTTTGATGGAGTCGTTTGCCAGCTGATTGAAGGCACTAGCACTGGAGTTAGACAACTATTTCGCCTTGATGGCCCACTTCGGTCGTTTGGAATTTGCGCAGAAAAAATTTGCATAACGGGTATGTTTCGGTAGACGGTGAACGGCTTCATTCTTCATCGTCACTGAATGCAGTTATAATGCTAATAAGGAGAATGCTAATTTATATTCGGACACACTGGCTTCACACTAGACAAACATCGCAAGTGCAGCGGTCGACCGTGGGCGCTGGAGCACGTTCCTGACCACCATCTCAGCTATTCGGGCGACCAGCATACGCAACACCTCGACTTTTTCCTCCGCAAGGAAGTGGCCAACGTGCAGTCAATCACCGCCTGTGGCCAGCTGTGCCTCGACGAGGAGAGCTTCGCCTGTCGGAGTGCACTGTACAATGGAACAGTCTGTCAGTTGAGCAATATGAACCGACACACACTGGACGGTCTTACCGCAACTGATCGCACCGAGACCTCCACTCCTCGACTCAAGTTCAAGGCCACCGAGGCAGCAGATGGTGCTGGGGTGAAGGTGCACTACCTGGAAAACAAGTGCACCAGTGAGGGTAAGACAAAGATCACACAAGCACACTCTTCACGCTATTCTGACCAGATAAGGGCAACCTTCAGTTCTTCCTTCTCCATTTGTTTGCACAAATTATTCGCGCATATTTTGCCTTGCTCAATTACTGATTAAACATCAGTCTGACTGTCTCTGACAGCAAATTATTTTCAAATTAGCTAAATGCCATTGTTTTCTACGTCATTTTCAGAACCGCGGAAGTTTTGCGACTTTCGCCAANTGATTAAACATCAGTCTGACTGTCTCTGACAGCTAATTATTTTCAAATTAGCTAAATGCCATTGTTTTCTACGTCATTTTCAGAACCGCGGAAGTTTTGCGACTTTCGCCAACTGATAAATCTCAGCTTGAAAACGGTGGATAGCCTTCAAAGTAGTGTAGACAGCCTGGGCGAGTGTCGTGAGCTGTGTTTGGCTGCCATCGAATGCCGTTCCTACCTCTACGATGCCACTCTCCGAGTCTGCAGACTAAGTCACCTAACAGAGCTTAGTACATGGCATATTAATCAGCCTTACGAAGAGATTGAAGGAGTATCTACTTATGAAATTTCAACTTGCTACAATGGTAAGTACAGTGAAAAAGTGATACATCTTCAGAAGAACATTTTCATTTTATTTTTCTGTTCAGTCTCTATTCTGTGTGAGCCCAAGTCAATGAAGGTGCAGATTGAGACAAGTAAGCTCTTCAGTGGTCGAATCTACTCTAAATCCCAGCCAAAACAGTGCGTCAATGATGTGTCCAATCAAATGGATTTTCACCTATCACTGCCATACATCGATGCTGATGAAGAGACTATGAGGGGGAAACGATGCGACACTCGGCAAAACTTTCCCGGCAGCTTCGCCAACGACATTATCATTCAACACAACGACAAAGTGCTCACTTCTAAGGATCTTTCACTTGGTGTCTACTGCAAGTTTGATCTTCAAAATGATAGCATTGCTCGAATTGACTTGAGAATTCAAGGGTAAAGAAGGCAAATTTGGTGAATAACGCATTGCTTAACTCAACTTATTTCTTTTGCAGAGAAATTCTCACCGACAAACTGAAAGGAGCTGCAGAACTGCCGGACCTGTCTCTTCATGTGGTCGACTACCATGGACGAGACATTGATGAGGTCACCATTGGCGACTTGTTGAGGGTGCAAATTAGAATGAGCAACGAAGAGACATACGGCATCTTTGTGCGCAATTTAGTTGCCAAAGATAGCTCCAATAAGACAAACAACATTACATTAATTGATAACAAAGGGTAATTTCAATAGCAATGTTTGCCTGTAGCCCTCATTTCAATCATCATTTTTAAACAGATGTCCAGTGGAGATGAAGATGATGAGAGAAGTGAGGACGCTTGACAAGAGCAGCAAGTCATTGGAAAGCTACCTGGAAGCGTTTACCTTTACGGGTGGATCTTTGCTACTCATTGAGGCCGAAGTGGAGACCTGCCTCGACAAATGTCGTCCGGTACGATTTTACCAAAACTGCCTTTTAAACATTGATTAACTTTGTGTTTACATGGGGGTCATGTACAGATGCAGTGTCAAGTTGCTACTGGTCGAAGCGAAGATCACCTCGAGATTGTCACCTCGTATGGTCGAAGACGGCGTCGTCGTCGTTCCTTTGCGAGCGATGGTGAGCAAGCAGAAAGGGGTGATGTACTGTCTATGACGATGCTCACTAAATCTCTGGTCATACTTCCTCGACATGATGAACTGAGCTCTACGTCATCACAGATGTCTCACTTTTACAATCGAGCTTTGAGTAGGCCAACTGACCAGTCACTGCCTCCTCCACAACCACCTCTTCGAAAAACTGCCTCGATTGGCAGTAGCCAAAGGTCATCACAAAAATCAAGTCACTTTGAAAAGTTACGCGATCGAAACAAAGCTGCACAGCATGCAGGAGGGCACAAAAAGTCCACTGACACAGCAGTGGCAATGCACATGTCCAGTACAGAGAAGGATCTAATTTGTTTTGAGCCGCTCAACCTTCTGCTCATCTGCACCCTCTCCTTCTGCGTTCAGGCACTTGTCTTTTCTGCAATCTTCTTTGTACTGCTGCGCAGTAAATCTATGTTCATATCACCTTCTTCGTCGTCTTCCTTGTACAGTCAGCCTCAACTGGTGT